CCAGCGCGTCCAGCTCCACAGCACCACTGCAGCCGGCCTCGGCCCCAGAGGGATCGGGAGACGGCTGCGGAGGCGATGCCTCAACCCGCTCGCTCGGGGAAGCCTGCCCTGGGGAGCCGGCCAAAATGTTGCCCCGAGCTCGAGCAAAGAAGGGGAAAGGGAGAGAAGACAACGGATGAAGGGAAAGGGAAGCTGTGTGGAGCACCGAGAAACAATGAGGAAACGAAGAGATGGAGAGGAGGGTGGAAGGGAGGAGAGGCACGGCTCCACGCGGCATGGCACGGCACGGCGCCGCAGCACAGCCCACAGCCCTGCGCGTGCCCAGACAGATCACGCCCCGCCGACCCCACCACGACGACTCTCGCGGCAAGCCTTATGGCGCAGGCTACCACGGGCCTATGCCCACCCTATGCGTAGGCCTACTACAGGCCTGTGGACAGCCTGTCAACAGGCCTATGGTAGGCCTATGGGCAGCCTGTGCATGGGCCGATGGGAAACCATCATGGGCCATGAATAGCCTGTCGTCGGGATTGCTGACTGCCCACGGCACCGCGCGGCGCGGCACAGCACCACAGCACGGCACGTGCCCACGCGACAGCACCCTGCTTCTCGGAGGCTCACGCGGCACCATCCGGCGCGACACGACACGCCTCCAACCACGAGGGTCGCACGGTGCGGCCCCGCCGCGCGGCACGCGCCCCAAAAGCACGGCACAACGGCGCGGGGCAGCACCCTCGCACGGGGGGGGGAGGGGGGGCAGCCTTTCACGCCACGAAAAAGCATACACAGACACCCTCCGACGAATGTTGCGTGTACCTTCCAGGAGGGCGGCGGTGCATAGAATCGCTGGCTCGCCGTGGTGATTAATGAGGGAGCGCGTTTCACGGGCGCTAGCCTTGGGAACACTCGGCGGCGCATCAGAACAGGGCCCCCACCCCCCCGAACATTCGGCGCCGCCGAACGGAACCAGGGGGACTCCCCTCCCCCCTCCCCCTCCCCCTCCACGACCCACCCCCCGGCGCCGCCAGCTGGCAGCGTCGACGGCGGCGACGCGGCGACGACTACCAGGACGAAGACGATGACGACAACGACAAGGACGACGACCACAAGGACGACAACGACAAGGACGACGACAAGCACGACAACGATGACGGCGTCGACGACGACCAGGACGAAGGTCCATTGTAGTCCAATCCTCGGACCTGGCTGCTTCGCGTGCCTCTCGCGCTTTTCGTCCTCGTCGTCGCGGTCGCGGACGCAGTCGCCGTCGTCGTCGTCGACGTCGTAGCCGTCGTCGTCGTGCTCGTCGTCGTCGTCGTCGTCGCCGCCCGTCGCCGCCGTCGTCGTCGTCTTCATCGTTGTCTTCTTCGCGCCGTCGTCGTCGTCGTCGACGTCGTCGCCGTCGTCGTCGTCATCGTCGTCGTCGCCGACGTCGTCGTCGTCCTCGTAGTCGTTGCCGTCATCTTCGACGTCATCCTGGTCGTCGTCGCCATCGTCGTCGACGTCGTCGTCGTCGACGTCACCATCGTCGACGTCGCCATCGTCGTTGTTGCCGTCGACGTCGTCGTCGTCGTCGTGGTCCCCGGCGGCGTCGTCGATGTCGTCGACGTCGTCGTCGTATTCGCCACCGACATCGTCGTCGTCGTAGCCACCGTCGTCGTCGTCGCCGTCGTCGTCGCCGTCGTCGCCGTTGACGTCCTCATCGTCGTCGTCGTTGTCTTCGTCGCCGCGGTCGTCGTCGTCGTCGCAGTCGACGTCGTCGTCGCCGCCGTCGTCGTCATCGTCGTCTCCGCCGACGTTGTCGTCGTCGTTGTCGTCGTGCTCGTCGTCGTTGTCGTCTTCGTCGTCGCCATCCTCGTCGCCGTCGTTGTCGCCGTCGTCGTCGTCGTCATCATCGTCGACGTCGCCGTCGTCGTCGTCGTCGTCGTCGCCGTCGTCGTCGTCGTCGTCGTCGCCGTTGTTGCCGTCGTCGCCGTCGTCGTCGTCATGCTCGTCGTCGTCGTCGCCGTCACCGTCGTCGTCGTCATGCTCGTCGCCGTCGCCGACGTCGTCGTCGTCGTCTTCCTCGTCATCGTCGTCGCGTCGTCGACGTGCAAGTCGTCGTCGTCGTCGCCGTCGTCGTCGTCGTCGTCGTGCTCGTCGTGCTCGTCGTCGCCGTCTTGCTCGTCGTCGTCGTCGTCGCCGTCGCCGTCGTTGTCGTCGTTGTCGTGATCGTCGCCGTCGTCGCCGTCGTCGTCGAAATCATCGTCGTCGTCGCCGACGTCGTCGTCGTCGTGCTCGTCGTCGTTGCCGTTGCCGTCGTCGTCGTCGTCGTCGTTGTCGCCATCGTCGTCGTCGTCGTCATCGACGTCGTCGTCGTCGTACACGTCGTCACCGTCGTCGTCGTCGAACACGTCGTCGGCGTCGTCGGCGTCGTCGTCGTCGACGTCGATGTCGTCGTCGTCGCCGCCGTCGTCGTCGTCGTCGTTGTCTTCATCGCCGCCGTCGTCGTCGATGTCGCCGTCGCCCTCGTGGTCGCCGCCGTCGTCGTCGTGCTTGTCGTCGTCATCGTCGCCGTCGTCTTCGTTGTCGCCAGCGTCGCCGTTGTCGTCGTCATCATCGTCATCGTGCTCGTCGTCGTCGTCGTTGCCGTCGTCGTCGTCGTCGTTGTCGTGGTCGCCGTCGTCGTCGTCGTGCTCGTCGTCGTCGTCCTCCTCCTCCTCACCGTTGCCTTCGTCGTCGTCGTCGTGCTCGTCGCCGTCGTCGCAGTCGTCGTCGTCCTCCTCGTCGTCGTCGCCGTCGTCGCCGTCGTCGTCAAAGTCTTCGCCGCCATCTTCGTCGTCGTCGTCGTCGTCGGCGTCGCCGTCGTTTTCGTCGTCGACGTCGTAACCGTAGTCCTCGTTGTTGGCTTCGTCGCCGTCGCCGCTGCCGTCGTCGTCGTCGCCGTCGCCCTCGTGGTCACCGTCGCGGTCGTCGTGCTCGTGGTCGTCGTCGTCGCCGTCGATGTCGTCGTCGTCGTCGTCGCCGACGTCGACGTCACCGTCATCGTCGTCGTCGCCGCCGTCTTTGTCCTCGTGCTCGTCGTCATCGTCGTCGTTGCCGTCGTCGTCGTCGATTTCATCGTCGTCGTCATCGTCATCGCCGTCGTCGTGCTCGTCATCGTCTTCGTCGTCGTCACCGTTGTCTTCGTCGTCGTTGCCGTCGTCGTCGTCGTCGTCGTGCTCGTCGTCGTCACCGTCAACGTCGTCGTCGTCTTCGCCGCCGTCGTCGTTGTCGTCGTCGCCGTCGTCTTCGTCGGCGCCGCCGCCGCCGTCGTCGTCGTCGTCGTCGTCGTTGTCGTCGTCGTAGCTGTCGTTGTCGTCGTCGTACTCGTCGTCGTTGTCGCCGCCGTCGTCGTCGTGCTCGTCGTCGTTATCGTCGTCGTCACCGTCGTCTTCGTCGTCGTCGTTGTTGTCGTCGTAGCCGTCGTCGTCGTCGCCGCCCTCGTCGCCATCGTCGTCATCGTCGTTGTCGTCGTCGTGCTCGTCGTCGTCGGCGTCGTCGCAGTCGTTGTGGTCGTCGCCATCGTCGTCGTTGGCGTCGTCGTCGCCGTCGTCGTCGTTGCGTCGTCGCCGTCGTCGTCGTCGTCGTCGCCCTGGTGGTCGTCATCGTAGTCGAAGTCGTGCTCGCCGTCGTCGTCGTCGCCGACGTCGTCATCATTATCGCCGTCATCGCCGTCGTCTCGTCGTCGTCGTCGTTGCCGTCGTCGCCGTCGTCGTTTTCGTCGTCGTTGTCGCCGCCGTCGTCGTCGTGCTCGTCGTTGTCGTCGTCGTCACCGTCGTCTTCGTCGTCGTCGCCGTCGTCGTCGTGCTCGTCGCCGTCGTCATAGTCGTCGTCGTGCTCGTCGTGGTCGCTGTCATCGACGTCATCGTCGTCTTCGCCGCCGTCGTCCTTGCTTGCGTCGCCGCCGCCGTCGCCGTCGTCGCCGTCGCCGCCGTCGCCGTCGTCGTCGTCGTCTTCGTCGCCACCGTCGTCCTCGTCGCCGCCGTCGTCGCCGTCTTCGCCATCGTCGTCGTCATCGTCGTCGTCGTCGTGCTCGTCGTCGTCGGCGTCGTCGTCGTCGTGGTCGTCGTCGTTGTCATTGCGTCGTCGTTGCCGTTGCCGTCGTCGTCGTCGTCGTCGTCGTCGTCGTCGTGCTCGTCGTCGTCGTTGTCGTCGCCATCGTCGCCGTCGCCGTCGTCGTCTCGCCGCCGTCGTCGTTGTCTTCGTCGCCGCCGTCGTCGTCATCGTCGCCGTCATCGCCGTCGTCGCCGTCGTCGTCGTCGTTGTGCTCGTCGTCGTCGTTTTCGTCGGCGTCGTCATCGTCATCACCATCGCCATCGCCGTCGTCGTGATCGTCGTCGTGATCGTCATCGCCATCGTCGACTTTGTCGTCGTCGCCGTCGTTGTCTTGCTCGTCGCCGTCGTCGTCGTCGTCGTCGTCGTCGTGCTCGTTGTCGTCGCCGTCGTCGCCGTCGCCGTCGTCGTCTCGCCGCCGTCGTCGTTGTCTTCGTCGCCGCCGTCGTCGTCGTCGGCGTCGTCGCCGCCATCGTCGTCATCGCCGTCGTCGGTGTCGTCGTCGCCGCCGTGGTCGTCGCCGTCGTCGTCGTCGTTCTCGTCGTCGCCACCTTCGGGTTCGTGTCCAAGCTTCGGGGGGCACTGCGGGCTTTCAGGGCCTGCGTCCGGGCTTGGTCCGAGTAGATGGGGTCGAAGGATCGCGCCGCATTGCCAATGCATCGCCGATGTATCGGCGATGCATCGGCGATGCATCGGCGATGCATCGGCGATGCATCGGCGACGTCGGCGTGGGGAAACACGGGCGCCACATCGAGCCGCATAGTCGATGCACCGGCGATGCGGCGCGATCCTCCGACCCCATCTACTCCGACTCTATCTAGGAGGCCTAGACTGCTGCAGTGCAGTATTTTCTTCGTGCCCCGGTCCGGGAAACTGGTCTCGAGGGATGTTGGGTGTCCGGGTCTGGCGTGCCCAGGCTCACGATGCAGAAAAACAACACACAAGACGCATGGATGGGTCTTGCGTATTGTTGCAACGGGGCTGTGGATCGGAACCATAACACGTGACGGATTTGTGGCGCCCCAACATGGATTGCTGCTTCTTCAAGAAGTCGCTCAAGACGCTTGCTCTGACGGGGCCCTGCTCCCCCCGATGCATTCTGGCACCGGCTCCCCCCCTGCTCTCGTGAGGCGCGGCCAGGGCGCGCCGCCGAGTGCGGCGCCGGCGGGGGCGCCACGGCGGGCGGGGCCACGTCGATGCGCAGCACGCGCGGCGCGTCGTACGGCACGGCGAACCTCGCAGGGCCGTGTGGGGGGGCTCGGAGTCCCCGGGCATGATCGCGTCGTAGTCGGACTCGATTAGGCAGGACACGCGAGAGGACACAAGACCCTTCCGAGGGCCACATGTGCCGCAGGCGTGTAGGAGGCATGGGTCGCGAGACACAGGACACGAGGGCACCCTTGATTTGGCAGGGTCGACCTACTAATCTGGGCCGGCTGTAACAGACATGAGGACGGGAGGTTCTGGGCCGTTTTCGGCCTCGGGGGCTCCTCGCCGGGCCTCGGGGGGGGGGGGTAAAAAAACGACTCGGGACGAAAAAGCGGTCCCGGAGAAAGGGCCGGGACTTCCAGGGACCCCGCACTGAAAAAACCAGGTCGAGGCCTCTGAGGGTCGACGCAATGGAAAAAGCATTACGTCTGGGGTCTGCTCGGACCCCGCTCGGGAGGCACGCCGCGGCGCGCCAGTCCGAGCGAGCCGGGGCGCTCCGGGGGGGCGCGGGCGCGGCCCTCCCCCTCGCGGAGCGGCCGGGGGCCGCGGAGGGAGGCCCGAGCGGCGGAGGGAGGGGCTCCCTCAGAGCCGACGCCGCGGCCAGAGGGCAACGTCGCCGAGGATTACGACCCGGGCCCTGGGCCCCGTCTTTCTGCGCTGCACCGTCCGAGCCGCCTGGACCGGTGGCGGCCGCGGGGCCCGAAGCCGGGCGGAGGAGGAGGAGGAGGAGGAGGAGGAGGAGGAGGAGGAGGCTACGCGGGTCGCCAGCGCGGAACGCCGCGGGAGCAAAAGGGCCTTCCGCCCGCGGCCTTGCCAGGGCAGCTCGTGCGCCCAAGGCTGGACACCCGAGACCCCGTTTCTATACGCCGCGCGCCTGGCAGAGGGACAGGAAACAGCATAAACATACACTGTTGGAGATCCGCGCGGACTTCTTGGATCTGCGCTGGGCCCCATCCCTGGCACGCGGCTCCGAGCGCCAGGGGCGGCACTGCAGGCGCCGCCGGAGGGCTCCAGAGCATATCCAGGAAATCCGCGCGGATCTCCAACGTGTAATGCTTATGCCGATTGTTGTCCTTCGACTCCTCACGCACTGCGCCCGCCAACCGCTGCCCGGGCCGCTTGGGAACAGGGCTGCGTGTGGACGGGCGGCCAGGACCCCGCCGCGAGGCAGACTTCCCGGAGGCGGACCCTCAGAGGGGAGGCTCGACACCACGGCCCCAATTTTTTAGAGGACGAAGCAACCGCACGAACATAAACTGTCGGAGCTCCGCGCGGGTTTCCTGGATCTGCGCTGAAGCCACCTGGCGGCGCCTCCCTCGCCGCCCCTCGCGCGCTCAGCGCGCCAGGGCAAAAGGGGGCCAGCGCAGATCCAAGAAACCGCCGCGGACCGTCGACAGCCTATGTTTGTGCCGTTTTCGTCTTCGCTGGAGGCGCGCCGAGGCGACGCTCATCGTGCACAGGCACTCTGTGTTTCCCGGCCAGTTGTGAAGGGGCCCTGGGGCACAAAAATAACTAGACACAACTCACATAATTCCAATAGTTTCCCATGTTTTCTTCGGGATCGACGATTACTTGTGTCTTTGTGCTTTTTCCCCTCCGCAGCGGGCGCTAAGGCGGGGCACGCCTGGGTTGGTTAATGCCGAGCGTCTGCCGGTGGGCGGCCAAGGCGTAGGAAACGTAGCCGACGGTTGCAAGAAAAAGGGGGGCCGGAGCCAACGCACGTGGAACATGCCGAGGCCATGCAGAGGGGCGTGAGGAGTGCACGAGAAGCGCAACAGCATATCAAAGGCATCATCGAACGCGACCACCTAAACTGTGCGAGACAGCGGCGTGGGTTTAGGTCGGGCCTGCCCCCTTACACGGGGGTTCTGGGCAACAGAATTTAAAAACGCCAGAAGATATTCAAATAATATTCAAAAATACTCCATAAGTCGTCCCCAGACTATTTTTTAACTATTTTTGAATATCCCCCCTGGCAACGGACAGGCACGACCTCAATGTGGGTTCGAGAGGCGGCGCTGCTGCCATGCGGCGAGGGTGCGCCTCGCTGCAGGGGGCGCGCGGGCCGCGGGAGGGGCCCGGGCAGCAGGGCGCGCAGTGGAGCTGCCCCGGGAGGGGAGATCACAAAGACACGAGGAATCGCCGATCCCCGGGAAGATGTGGGAAACGATGGGAAGCTCAGTTGCACCGATACGCAACACGCAGCATTGGGAATGTCTTGGGGGTCAGGTCTGTAGGAAAACCCGCAAGGGCGTCGGCAGGGCCGTCTTACTCGCTCGTTGCCGTGGCTCTTGGTTCGCACGTTTTCGCGTCAACATGCTCTTGGTGCGCGAAATGTCTGGTCCAGATTTCCGTTGCACCGAAGGCCCAGCATGGTTTCCATCTAGAACTTCAAATTCTGAGGTCGTCTCACAGGGTGCCATTGCAAACGGCAGCCTAACACGTGTGGGCAAAGGCCGATATCGATGAGTAAACTAGCTTAGAAGACACGCGAATAACAAAAACGCCACATCTGATGAGATGGTGCACTCAGACGGGCCTGCGCTAACACTCTGGCAAATCATTGGGCAAATCAGAGCCCGTCGATCACAGCCGCGTTTACGACCAGACAAGGCAGCCTACAACAGGCCCGCGTGTCCGCGAAACGCTGTCGGGCGCCAGCGGTGCAAACCCCGCGGCCGTAGCGCGCTAACTGAGAAGACAGCCTGGCGTCGATGTCTCTGCGCAAAGCGGCCCAATGCTGCCGTGTAGGCTGAAAACGTGGGCCCGACGCGATACATTCGCCAAAACGTGGTCCACGACGCGGAGCCAACGCGCAACGCATTGACACGGACGTCTTGAACACGGGATGCGTTGCGATTCACAACGGGCGTATCGAGGCAATTAAGATGGGAAGTGTGGGGGGGGGAAGACGAAGAAAGCCTCCTAGAACGCCCGTGGGCCACCACAAATGGCCCCCAGGAGACCCAAAAAGAACTCCAAAAACGCCCCCAGTCGGCGCAAGCCGCCATCCACTGCGCACCCATTCTCGTCGAGAGCCCAGGCCTCCAGAATCGGCAACACTGGCCGCGCGCCAGGGGCGGCGCCGGGAGGTGCCGCCAGGGGCGGCCCCGCCGATGCAAAAAAAATCCGCGCGGAGCGCCACAAGTTTATGTTTATGGCGTGGTTTCCTCTTCTTCTTCGAATATCAGTGTATGCCGTATGCCAGCAATCGCAGCGCAAGACAGCACAACAACGATGCTGAAGAGGCCCAGGCGAAAGCGCGTCGCAGGGACCCCCCACCCAAGAGAAAAGCCGGGAGCTGCACGGCGCTCGCACGGCCGCAAAACCGCCGCGGGACAGCCCCCCCGAAGCGAGAGAGGACCCCGAAGACACCAGCCTCGCGGAGAAGGGCACCGGCGCAGCGGCGGCGAAGCGTCGAGGCAACTGGAGGAAAGCACAAGGAGCGGGCATCGAGACGGGACGGTTGGAGGGGAGGGGACATGGGGGGTGGCAGAGGAGCAGAGCCGTGCGGTCTTGGACAGCGCCCAACTCAATAATGCGCGCTCGCAGGGCGCAGCTTGCCGCGCGGTGCTGAATGCCGCGCCGCGAGCGAACTGAATAGAACGGCGAGGCGCTTCGCCGCCTGCTGTGGCGTGGCAAAACAAAAAAAACTGCAGCGCTACGCTGCGCCGCGCAGCTGGGCGACCGCGGCGAGTATAAACCGGCCGCGTCGAACGAAGGGGGAGGCAACGCATCCCCCTGGGCGCAACAAGCGAGGGCGTTGCCACTGCAGTGGAATAGCCACGCGCACGCGCACGCCCGTGGAAAAAAACGGGCCCACGCGTCGAAACAAAAATATCGCCACACAGCGCAGCGCGATTGCACAGCAGAAAACACGCACGCGCGTCAACGCGAAACCGCCGCCACGCAGCGCAGCGCGACCGCGAGGAAAAACAGGGGCGCGTCGCAACAAGAATACCGCCGCACCGCGCAGCACGACTGCGAAGCAGACAAAATATGTCGAAACGACGATGCCGCCACAGCGCAGAATGACTGTGAAGCCGAAGCACAAGTGCCAAACATATGCGAAGTTCTACTGCAAAGTACGCTGAATACGCAGTCCGCTACGATACGGGGGCGCCGGGCGCGAGCATTAGTAAGCCGAAGGTGCCCTGACCAATACAAGTCGCGATCCCCAACTTCGCTGCGGACGCGCTTCTGAGGCCCGCGGACCCCCCCGCCCGGCAACAACCCCAGCCAAATCCCGGCCGCCGCCGGGCAATATCCCAGCCAAATCCCCGCCGCGGCCCCGCCGCGGCCCCGCCGCGGCCCCGCCGCCGCCCAGCCGCGGCCCAGCTGCCGCCCAGCCGCCGCCCCCCTCCAAAAAAACTGCCACCCTTGTAAAAAAACGCCGCCGGCAAAATCCCAGCCGAATCCCCGCTGCGGCCCCGCCGCGGCCCCGCCGCCGCCCAGCCGCCGCCAAGCCGCACCCCAGCCGCGGGCCCTCTCCCCGGGGGCCCCAAGATGGCCTCACGGGACCTCGCAGGAAGGAGGGGTGCGATGGGAAACAGGAGGATCGCGACGGAGGAGCATGGCTGCAGGAGGGAGAAGGAAGACCGCCCGGAGCGAAGGGCGGGAGGAACGGCAAGGAGGGCGCGAAGGAAAGGCGGGAAGGCGACGAGGGAAGGAGGAGGAGAGAGGCGGAAGGAGGACGGATGAGGGAGGCTAGAGGGAA